TTCGCTTCGTCGGGGATGATAAATGGCTGTGTTCGAAGGTTTCTAGTCTCTGTGACGACTTGAATCGCTTGTGCTGCTCCACTTGTTGCTGCTGTTTGTCCGTCATAATTCTTTCTTGTTTTTCTCCTCGTCGCCAATGTAACACTCCAAATTCACTCGAGCTCGATGTGTACACTCCAAAAGCACATGGTTTAATTCTAACACATACTTCATGTAAGTCACACTATATATATATATCTAACGACTACTTCGTGTACATCGCACAGGATATAACACCCGCCCCCATTTTATGTAACGCCAGTGCCACCTATCCTTTTTCAGGTATGGTAGGAGAATGTCATGCATCACAAAGAAAAGACTGAGAGAGAAGATCTCTTGTTTCGACGAGTACAACGTCAACGTATCAATCATTGACGCCTCCAGAAAACTAACTACTAGCTACTACTTCCACTTTCTGTCATGGAAAAAATAATTCTTTAAACCAACTCAGTCTCCAAATAACATTGCCCTGCTGCGAGCCAAACTTTGTACAGGAGGGATCGTATAGAGCTTTGAAAGAGTTCCTATACTAACACCAAGTGGATTCACAGCCATTTTGAATGAGAGGAAAATCACACTTGAAAGTAGTTTTTATTCATCAAAGAACATATACAATGTGTCTTCACAAACTCAAAACAACTAACGAAGCTTAAAGGGTAAAGTAAGCAACCTATCTTTAGCGTGACGCGAACATTAATTTTTAGAGGAATGCACGTAACCTTACCACTAGGCTATGATTATCCGTCTTCATGATTTCCTCGTATGGTTTCACATTTAAAGCCGCTCCTTCAAGCTCCTGTTTCTTCTGTAGAACTGTTTTCACATCTATTGGCACAAGAACATACACCAGGTGTATTAACAGTATTGATGGAACTGGTTTTATTTTTGTTGGCATGAAAAACAAACTAAATCTAGTTGTACTGAAGTTATGGCCGGGGTAGGAGGCACTTCAACATGACTGATTTATCAATTATGGGATTGTTTTCAAATAATGAAATATATATATATATCTTTATCACAATCAAAGTGTTGATTTGGTTATAATAACCCAGAGAGTATTTATTTTGACAAAGTAGACTGAGTAGCTGAAGATGACTGAAGTTGACTACAATCAGTGACTGCTGCGTTAATTTTGCATACTATCGGTGTTAAAGGAGGTCACTCCAAAAAGCTTACTTTTTTTTGTCTTCGCCTATAGCAAGTAAACATTAAGCTTTTCCACTCACCGAAGTTTCAGCCTCTGAAATGCCCGCTATCCTGAAGAAATTCGTTTCGAAGAAGCGACTTCGGAAGCTGCCATTTTGAAACTGTCTTAGCAGTCAGGCCGTGTTTGTGACGTCATTCCGTCCGACTCGAAATTGGCGGCAAGGTCAGCAAAATATTTTTTCTTTGTCCCATGGGATTATCCACTTCACCATCATTTCGGAGTTTGGAGCGTGTTTGGCTCAAAATAATATGGCTCAAGAGCAGCCATAACCCAGAGTAGTCAAAAGGCTTGTCGGAAGCCATTTCACAGGGAGCCCTCACATCCGTTTAGAATATGAGTAAAAAATTAACCTCCCTTTGTCGCACCTGTTTTTTCGTTTCTTGTGGCGGCCATTTTGAATTTTTAATACGCGCGCGGTCTGCTAATGCGAGGTCTGGAACCGAAATTACGAAGATCGCTCGGAGCTTGCTCGGAGGTCTAAGAAAATGACAAGGGATGAAACTGAAATGATAGCGTTCCGAATTCTGCATTAGTTCGAGGAGAAATTTACTTCGTAATTTGCCGAAAATTACTCTGTGGGAAGAAGCATTCAACTAAATATATCTACGCTCAATTAGCACAAACATCTAGAAGGTCTGCGATATTTTGGCGTTGTTTTAAACTACTCGCTTTGGCACTATGTCTCTGCCAGTTGGAGGCCATGGAAGTGAGAAATGCGAAACGTTGATTCACAGAATCGAAACGGAAGTGATAGTGTTGCTTTTTCTGATTGGTCAGTTTTAATTCCGGAAGTTTGATGACTTTATTCCGGAAATAGAATGCTACCACAAGGCCGAAAAAGGTGTCATTTCGTATTTGGAAGAATTCAGAAATTTTATGACCGTTATGTTAAGAAATTTTGTTTCTCCTGACAATAAGAGGTAAGTATAGTAGGAGAAATTTTGCCGATGTTAATGCCAAGGTAAGTTTGTGATTTGAGACGACGAGGTTCTCGTTAATTGGAGATCTTTTCGGCCTTGCGATTCAGAAAGAGCTTGAAAATTAGATTGATGCTCGTTTGCCACAAGTGGTTTGACTTCGACTGTCAGAAGCAAGTGCTGGATGTAGTTTTGGCTGGCTACAATACTTTTATTGCTGGAGCCGCCGGTAGCGGAAATTTCTGAGCGCACAAAGAAAGCGGTAAGTGTAACGAGCTAACGATCGAGGAATCAGTCTTTTGCCAGTCTGTAGGCTTTCGCAATGACCAAACATTTTCATACAATGTCATGATGGATGAAACTCGCTAAACCATCAAAGCTTCTTTTTTAGCAATACATATTTCTTGTAGAATTTTGTAACTCAATCATTTTCATTCAGCTTATTGCTTTAGCGACTTCAATTGCCGAGGATGATGGATAAAAATGTTGATCGTTTAAAAGTGGCCGGCGGTTCCATGGAGTCTTTCAAATTTTCGCGGAGCTGGTTTGAAAATAGAGTAAATGCACACAAATGCATTCATCACAAACGATAAATCTTTCGCTATTTTACATAAAACCCGTTTTATTCCTTTCTGGTTTGGAAAATGAGAAGCTTGAAGTTTGAGTAGTGTTAAACTTGGAAGTGGAGCATGTCGGTCCCAAAAGAATGCTGTTGATGGTGGTTCCATACTGACAGTAGGTAAAAGGGTTGCTATTTTTGCCCGTTGCCTTCCCTAACCTGGCAAAAAGTGTATTCTACTGAGCCACTGTTTACAAACATTGACTTAATGATGCAACCGGGATTCAGCTGAAATGAAATGCTTAAAATCTGTTCAAAGCCAATAATCAAGTGGACCTCGAATCAAATAAGAGCTTGTCAGACAAAAAAATTATTTGTTTCTGTCTGATGCACTTAGATCTCCTCTTCTACTGACTTCCTAACCTCCCAATCTTCAATCCACTTCAGAAGTCTCCTGTTTTCAACGAACCTGTCATGACTTTGGTGCTTGCATACAGCAGTGGCCTTACACTAAAATGCTGGTCATGCTGGGGAATGCATTCTACCCTACAGTTTTCATAAAAACAAACATTTTGCGAAATCAGAAACAGTTCAATCTTAAGTTCAATCAGAGTTGTTTGATCCCAAAAAAAATTACTCTAATTAAAATTCCTCTCTGTGGTTATATAAAGCATGACCTACTAGTGTGTAGTGATTGGATGTTTGTTGGAGTTGCAAAGCTTTGATATCATTACCTCAGTAGAATTTCACCAGAGAGCATTCTTTGAATGCCAAAGTTTCTGATCAGTGCAAAATCTGAAACATAAATGCAACCCAATTTTCTCAGTCTTAGTAATAATTAGTCATCCCCTTAACCACTCAAAGGAAAGAAATAGTGTGAATATTAAGAAAACGAAAGGACACAAAATTGAGTTTAATCACTTTAAAAGCTCACTTTGTTAGTTAGTTAGGATACAATATTGGACAATTCAACTACATGTATTAGTAATGATACATGTACTAGTAATGATATCTGAACCAACATTTTATCATTCAGCCAGACAAGTGATTTTGCATTCATGTTGCATAACCCAATCTGAAGTAATCCCTTCTTCTTTCAGTTTCTCATAGATAATTTAAGAGATGGGTTATTCTGGTTCCATGGCTTCTTTGAGATGTTGGACCAGTACACTGGCTTTCCATGCAGTAACAAATTTCTTGATGTCTCATTTTCGGAGGTCTTCTCAATGTTATTTATTCCCAATGACAACAGAATATGATTATGATTAAAAATAAATAACATTTTGAAATACTTTTCTTAGTACTCATTTATAACTTCATTAGAACTTCAGAACGGTTTTTTAATCAGGCAATTACTATGCTTTGGTTTTGGTTTTATGACAATCAATTGAAAACTGCTCTATTATTTATTTCTTGCCAATAAATCATGAGTTAATCAAATTACTATGAAACTGGCAAACTATCCATTTCTGTCACATGACTTATGACTTTTAGAATCCTCTTGGTATATACTCAAAGCAGAATGCTATATTGCTAATAGATTATTTGGAACTGTTGCAATATGCATGTTCAGGGTTTCAGAATTCCTGGCTGTCGCTTAAACTTGAATTTTCAAATTGAAACATTTCCTGAAAATTAAAGCCACATTGAGGAGGAGATACAGTCAACCACCCGTAAGCGACCACCCAAAATGTCAAGCCTAGGTGGTCGCTTACGGGAGATGGTCACTTGTGAGAGCTTAGACCATACTGAGTCAAAATTTTGCCTAATTAGCATATGGTAACTGCAGAGATTTACCCCATGTTTTGAAGGTTTTATTTATGTAAAAAGTCAATTTCGAGAAAAAATCTAGTTATTCCCACTGAGAAATTTCCATCTTTTGTACTACTCAGGAATGCGATAATGTTACTACACCTTATTATCCAATTTATGCTATATTATCTGTCAAGTGGTCGCTAACAGGAGATTAAAGACAAAAGGAAATTTCAAACTATTAGCTCTCAAAGTGGTCGCGGTCGCTTACGAGAGGTGGTTACTTACAAGAGGTTCCAAAAGATTTCACTGCAAAACTTTTGGTATTTTGGAAAACTGGTCGCTGAGGAGAGGTGATCTTTTACAAGAGGTGGTTACAACCGGAGGTTCAACTGTATTTCTTTATCCGTATAGGTAATCGTACTACGAGTGCAATTGGAAAAAATTTCCGAAAATCACGAGTAGTGTTATTTAATAACTTCATTGCTTGAGCTTTCATACAATTACTAATGTGTTATAACTGAGAAAATTTCAAACGTGCAGTTAAATTGGCTTGCTCTCAGCCAATCACAATGAAATAATTTTCTCAGTAATATAATAAATCTGTCTATGTATTTAATTATTTAATTAATTACTTAGAGCAGCTTTCAATTGAGTGTCGAAAGTAATCAGGCACTGACTTACGTTTTTGGTTTTGGTTTTACTTCAGTTGACCGTCATTACATAGTAAAGTAGCGAGTATTACGGAACAAATGTAATGAATTCTACTCCATTGGCACTCGCATTTGATTTTAACCATGGACAAGAATCGCAGACCAGGGGATCCCTCTTTCAGTTCTTCGTTTGGTTTCCGTGACATTTGGGAAGACCTTTTTAATCACACGTCCAAATGTACTCGCATCTACTGTAAACTCTTTAGGGGACTAGTTGCAGGGACTAGTCCCCTCTTGTGTGCCGACCTTAAGTCGAAGAAAATTTTTCACTGCCTGACTGCCACGTATACCATGCCTTACTTCAACTTTTGTACTCACCATTCCGTTATTTTAAACTTGTTTGTCGACTCAATGTTGATACTTTCACATAGCACTTCCTCTGCAGCGACGACAACTTAATTTGTAACAATCGTCTTTTCGAGAAGACGAAGTGGACGCCATTGGATCCGCCATGTTACAGCACTTTGAAAGCGCGTAACGAAGCTCGCATTTTTTGACTTCCGGTCTCTCTTTCACATCTTATTTCCGTTCCCCCCAACTGACAGAGACATACGACGAAAGCTAGTCAGAAGTTTCATCCCTTGTCACTTTATTATCCTCGGGGAGCGATCGGCTACCTCCGAGAATTTTCCCGCCCGTCCCAGATTTCCGTAATTTCGGTTCCAGACTTCGCACTA